AATAATAGTTTGGAAGACATTAAGGTTTTAAGTATAGATGAAAAAACACGAGCAGACACTTTAATTATTAAATCTCTTCAAAAATGTGTGGCACGAATTGAGAAATTGGAAAAAGAAAATCTGACAAATTAATATATAGATTACCTGTTCAATTATGTAATTATTCATTATTTCAAATTAAGAATAATATAACAAATTCATATTATTAATTGCTTACACAACTTCTTTCACTTTTTGGCGTTGATGTTGAAACAGTGCTATTTGTTTCATCTATTAAATCTTCTTCATCAACAAAATTATTTTGAAATCTTAATAATTCCTCGTCCGTTGCCCTCCTTTTCAATGCCTTATAAAGTTTATGTATCCAAGAATTATTATGAAAATTATAATTACCCTTGCGGTAAGATCCACCGCATATACATTGTTTTATAACCATATTAATATATTGTACTAAATTAGAATATCTTTATTCATCATTTGTAATTTGAAATGCCTGTTCAATATTGATATGAAACATTTTGTTAATGTCTTTTGAATTCATATTCACGTAGAAAACAGAATATGGAGCAAAATTAACGGCTTGATGATACATATCTAATAATTGCTGTTTGTCAACAATGGCACTATTTTCTTCAATAAAACTCATTAATTCACTGGCATTTTTCAACCTAAAAATATATAATGAACTGGCATTTAAACGAATGATAGGCGCCAAAACATTGTATTTTTGTGTTGAACAAATTACGCTTACTGCATCGTGCCTACCTCTTGTAAATAATCCATGTAATAATTTACTATATCTAACAAATTTAGGATCGTCGGCATGATCGTCTATAACGATTAATATTGAATGTAGTTTCTTTATCTTTTTAGATTTCATATAATTAATTGTTTTCTTCTGTCTTTCAATTACATTTTCTAAATCACTTGGATTATAATTATCAAAATAAATTTGTTCTTTTTCATCATCCACGTGCAATTCATCCCTGATATATTTTTTTAACTTCTGTAAAGGTTGGGTCATTATGAACGCTGGGGGACAATATAAATATTCTTGCAAATGAATTTCTATAAACATTTAAGATAAGGTTCTGAACCAAGACTGTTTTGCCACCTGTCGAACTCGCAACTATAATACTTCTAAATGGTAATTTTGGCACGTGCTCATATTTAGATTAATTGAATTCATATTCAGTTATGTTTATTGGTTTTATTATTGGAACATTTGACATAATAAAATAATATTAAAGATATTTAGAAAATATTTTATATTTATTATTTTATATGAATAGAAGCTATTCAGATTATATTGATATAATAGATGAAGTAGAGAATATAGAACAAGTTGTTATACCTGATAATAGATGCAAGAAGGCATGCTATTTTGTTTTAGACATAATTAAGTTTGTGATACAATATATCAAAAATAAAAATGTAAATATTAATACAAATGGGAAGAAAGAAAAAGAATAAGACTGAACCAGTTGTTTCTTCAACTGATGAAGAAAAAGAAGAAATTGTTAAAGAAACATCAGTCATTGAGTTTGCTTGTCCAATGTGTAAAAAGATCTTAGAAATGAAGAATGAACTAGAAATACAAAAGCAAGGAAATTGTAAATGTTCGTGTATTCCAACAAGTTTCAAAATTAGTAAAAATGATAAGAAAATGAATATTGATAAAACTAAAGACAGTATCAACTTAGAAACAGATGTTCATAATATTGCTGTACGCTTTGGGAGGGGAGTTACTCCATCCAATAATGGTGATAAGGAAACTCAGGAAACTGTTAAACAAATGATGAAAAATTAGTATTTAAAGAGTAGATTTAACATAATTTAAACATTTAGTTTTAAAAGTTTTATTTTATAATATAGTATATATATATGGACGAAGGATTAGATAAGATTGTTAAACAACTAAAGGGTTTTAGAACAGAATAAGAATATTTTAGAAATATTGCAAGAAATGGAAAAGAAGAAACCATTAACAAACAATTATCAAAGTAAAGAAGTAGATAGAACCAATGGTGAATATAAAAATACAGAAATATGTATTTAAACAAACTTAATAACAAAGAAATTAAAGAACCGAAGGCTTCAACTATGACATTTTATCAAATTGACTATGATGAAGATACAGGGATTTATTCTTGATTGAAAACATTTTTCTCTGAAAACCCGTTTAAAGATATATTGGCATAACTAATATTATGAGTTCTACAGATGACGAAGAAGAAACAGGATGCACAATGGTTTATCATTGCAGTAAATGCGACGAAGCAAAGCCAAGAAAGGATTTGCACAAAATGTATGATAGAATTAAAATGGAAGAGATATTTTACAAAACATGTAAGGAATGCAGAGACAAAGTAAAAGCAACAAAAGAGTTAAGGAAGGAACAGAAGAAACGAATACAACCCATGGAAATACATAGATGAAAGCCTTTGATACCATAGTTTTGCTATACTTACAACATGTAAGATCTTATATGCTGTAATTATAGTGGTAAAAATATTTCTATAAATTATTATTTCTCTGAAAATGTATTTAAAGAAATATTACCTATATATGTATGTTAGGACAATGAGCGATACAGAAAGTGAAAATAGTCAATATAGTGATACAGAAAGTGTGTATAGTGAATATAGTGATACAGATAGCGAATATAGCAAATATAGTGATACAGTCCGTGAAGATATTGATGCTAAAAATATATTCAGAGAAAAGTTTATGAGTTATAAATGTAGAGACTGTGAGATGCTAAAATTACCAATTAAACAAGGTTTTTTAAATGGTGTTTGTGATAATATTTGTCAATATATGATCTATGATAATTGCAATAAAATTATAAACAAAATTGATGGTATGAATAGCAAATATATTAATACTAGAAATGTTCAACATATTGATGAAGATTTAGAAATATTTGTGTTTATTGAAATGAATAAGTTCTTGACCGAAGAAGAGTTTGGAAATTTATTATATAAGGGCGATGAGGAAGGAAATGATAATGATTTTATTTTTAAGTATTATAATCTGGTAAAAAGATTATATGGTATGTCTTTTAATATTAGGCGTTTAATGAAAGAAGCATTGAATGATAATGACTTTGATTTTGTAAGTTGTGAGTATAAAGCTCACGAACTTGGATATACGGTAATAAGTGCAATTAGAACAATGGACTTGTTTAAAAAGGAAATAGGAAATAATATATATAATGAAAAAACAGCTGATAAAATAATGAAACGAATTGAAGAAGAATTTTATAATGAATTAGAATAAAGTTGAGCTCATAATTTAATTATAAATTATAACATGTAAACATTTATATGTTATAATTATACTGTAATTTTCCCGTATAAGCCGTGGGGGTTCTTTCCTACATAGGCCTTTCCCATCCGCATATTGCCATCCAATGTCACACAGATTATTTTCAAGATTTGGGTTAACGGTTTTAATTCTCCCTTTTCCATTGGTTAACCATTTTTCGGGGAGTGATAATTGACAATGTGTTATTTGGATGAACAAGGTTGGGTTTATTCATTTTCTAGGTATGTAATCTTGAAAGATCATTTAAGGAAATGTATTCATAACATAGTATGGAGAATTCAGAGTGTAGCAGTTGTAGAGTCAATAAACCAATTACTGAATTTAACGGGTTCAAAACATGTAACAAATGTAGAGCGAAGAAGCGAGAGAGGACAGCGAATAATTGATATTTGTATTGTCATGTTTGTGAAAGAAGAGTGAACCCAGAGATTTGGGATTTCCATTTGGTTGGAGGTTGTCACCAAGATAATATGCTCAAACATCTCAAGGCAGATTATTAGAGATTAGTTGAAGAAGCACCTACACAAGAATTCAAGGACAAATATTTTCAAGAAGGTCAAGAGAGGATACAAGAACTCAAAATGACAATGCCTTTGTATAATCCAGCTTTGAGAAGAAAGAAAGTTGATCAGGTTGATGGTGGTGAATTGGACTAAAACATGAAGTTGATCATTAGAATGTTATTTTTCTAATGATTAACTTAGAGGGTTGTTCAATTTGGTGGTTTTGAATGGTGTAATTTGATAGGTGTGTTTAAAAAGTGCTTGAAAGTGTGGGGGGGACCCTAGGGCAATGCGGACGGGAGAGGCTATCTCTAACTCCCGCGCCCCCGGGCCCCCGCGCCCCCGCGCCCCCGCGCACCCGCGCCCCCGCGCACCCGCGCACCCGCGCACCCGCGCACCCGCGCACGCGTGCACGCACGCGCGCACGCACACGCACACGTACACGCACGCGCCACACCCACACCCACACCCACACCCCACACACACCCACACCCCCACACCCCCACACCCCACACCCCCACACCCCACCCCACACCCCCAACCCCCACCCCCACCCCCCCACACCCACCCCACCCCCACGCGCACGGGCACGCGCACACACACACGCACATTCACACGCACACCCACACACACACACACCCACCCACCCACCCACCCACGCGCGCGCGCACGCACGCACGCACGCACGCCCGCCGCGCGCACGCGCGCACGCGCGCACGCGCGCATGCGCGCACGCGCACGCGCAGGCGCATGCGCACGCGCACGCACGCGCACACGCACACGCACACGCACACACCCATACAGGCACACAAGCACACATGCACACAGGCACGCAGGCACCTAGGCACGCAGGCACGGCACGCAGGCACGCAGGCACACACACACACTCACACACCGGTGTGTGCAAAAAAGAGGACGCCGGAGGGCCGGAGATGTCAAGTCTTGGACATCCAGTTGCAAGCTTGACAGGTGTGCAAAAACAGGTATTGCCTTTGTTTTGGCGTGCTGCTGCCAGACGTAGTTGTTTGCCAAGGCGTCAGTTTACATAGGGGACGCCGCCGCAAGCTTGTTCTTTGCGATTTTGCGTCTCGTCTCGTATTTATATTGGCATGGCTGTTGCCCTCAGGAAGAACGTGTGGGGACAACTTTGGTATTTGCTGTGCTAAGGCGCTTCTTGCAGAATACGAGGTTCGTTTGAAGGCCATCTACCAGAAGCACAACCCTGACGCGCTGTCAGATGCTTGGCAGGGTAGCTGTGTGTGCGCGGGACTCGTCGAAAATCATGCAGATGCAGCGTTGTGCCTCACAAGCTGCTGAATTCCCCCCCCCCCCACCCCGCAAGCAAATGTAGAATGAGGGCAGGCGGGGGCGGCTTTACATGGTTGGAACACATGTTCTACCTACGTGCTGCAAACATGTTTGGAGTTCTCCCGGCCCATCGAACCGAGCAACTGATCCGAGCCATGTCTAGCCTGCCGCTTGCAAAGTTGATGATTGAGACGCGGGGGGCTCCGCAGCCACGCGGATCACTGTTTTTTTTTTGCGCTTGGTGGGTGCCTTGTTCCCGGATGACAGATGGACAGATGAATGGCGAGATAAACAAGGCAGCAGTATAATTGTTTGAATTGATTGTCGGTGTTTGTCAAACGGGCTAGCCTTGGACCCAGAAAGTCGGACCCAGCTGATATGGACCTAATATTTGCTGACAAAAGGTCTTCCCAAGTCATCCACCCCAAAAACTGGGGATAATATCAGTTGCTTTGAGGAGGCTCTTTGAAAGGCCATGCCAGCCTACTGTATCTGCTGGAACCGGTTGCGTTCTTGGCAACGGGTAGGTCGTTGCAACTAGATACTTTTTTCGGGGAGAGGGGGTGAACAACAGCTGGCTTTTCCATTAGTTTCTGTTTCAACAGGTAGCCCGCAGGACATGCTCCCATTTGCTTACAGTAATCCTGTCCCTTGTGTAGGTTCCAACTGAAGCAAAAGCAACACCAACCCCTAAACGGCCCCCCCAGGATCCCCACCTGGACCAGATCCTGGGCCACCCGGAAGCACAGAAAGCGCTTGTTGCAAGCAGGCGGCCCGTTTGCTGTGCTTCCCCAGCCAACACAAGGCCGGAAATGAGGACCAAGCTTGAAAGACCTGCCAAGTCTTGAAGAACCCCCAAGTTCTTCCTTCAATTTGGCCCCAACTTCCAATCAAAGCTCGCAGGAAGCAAGCAAGACCATTGGCATCCTCATTTTGCGCGCATGCAATCAGAAAGCAAGGATGTGCCTCTGTGTCTCTTACCGAGGTCTGTCGTGCGTTTGGGGGGGCAGGGAATTTACAGCAATGGGAAACACAAAGTAAGGCCTGCAGAGAAGGAAGCTTCAGGCGATTGTTTTTTGGGCTTGCGTGGCGAGAAAATGACGGTGATCGGCGGTCCCTTTTGATGGTGAAGTAACCTTCATGGCCAAAGCGATTTGCCGGGCTCAAGGAATCAATCAAGCAGCCTTCCCTGTCAGTATTCATCAAAACTCCTGAGTGTACGGGCTTGGGTGCCTCACATGGGAGTAGTCTTGACGCCATGCACTTGGATTGAGACACGTTTCCAAGTGTCGCAAGACATGCGTCGAGTGGTGCCATCGATGCCCAGCCTTTGCCCAACATGTTGTATGGCAGCCCGTGCTGTGCGACTGAACGTGGACAGGGCCCCCAATTAGGTTGCGTCACTCAAATGCGACTACTTGGAATGATGCTGCGGCCTTGGACAGGCTCAGAAGTTCCTACCTGAACAAAACCTTCACAGCTCAAACAAGACTGTGGATCGCAAACGTGGGTGCCCCATGCAAAACCAGAAGCACGCGGCGGACACCGCCGGGTGCACGGGGGGCTAGGGCTATGCTTTTGCACCCACTGCCCAAAACCACACCTCGGGCTTCAAACGTATCCAACCCGCAGGGGTGCACTTCAGACTTCAGTCCACATGTTCTGCGTCATTTGCTTCAGGCTTATGGGCAATGCTACGTGTAGATGTGCAAATTTGGGCCACTTTCCTATGGTTCCGCAGCTGGCCTCGCATACTTCCCATGCAGCTTTGGCTTCGGAAAAGCCTCGCAGGAAAGTGTTTCCAAGCAGCAATGCTGACTCTAAGGTCCTAATTAATTGTTTGTCCCGTGGGTTTCTTGCAGGGCTGGGCAATCTCATTTGAACAGCCAGTCTATTCCCCCTTACTATCCTTTGAAGGCAAGCTCAAACGGGGATCTGAAAATAGCGGTCTAAGCATCTAAGCAAGTTGAACCTACCAAAGGGGAAACCTACATCGGCGCCTCAAACAGATTGGCCCCACCGGTTTCTCGAAGCCTTTTTTTTCCACCCCGAGGCAAGTACCGGGAGCAGATGATCAGCAGACCTGCGGAGGCGAACCAGCCACAGGTCCTGCAACGGTACCGGGAGCGAGCCTTGGCAGAGAGGGTCTCCCGGCTCGGCCCATTTCTTTTAAGGACGGGCATCGACGATTTGGAGAGATAACTTTCCATCCCCCTTGTTTAACATGTTTGTTGGGGAGGGGCTCGACCCAAACCGTACTATTGTGGCGGCCGGCCGACCATCCTTTGTGTGCTTGCGCATTTGGCCGTCCGGAACTGAAACTTTCCGTGTTTCAAGAAAATATGTGTGCTCTCAAAATCAGATGCAAGTGCCACATGCTGCCATCTACACGCTCAACTTGCCAGATCCTGGTTTTGGGGTCTCGGGCAGGCCAAGGCCTAAACCTGGAAAAAGCAGGCCTGCCTTTTGGTCGGCCTAAGGGAAATCCACGGGAAGCCCGTATTTCACAAAACCCGCATTTGTTGTTGTGCCGTTGGTTCTTGTAGGGCTGGTATCGGCGAGGATTTTGCTGGTAGTCTAGTGGTGTTGGTGCCGGTGTTGGTCGGAGCAAAGTCAAACCGGGCACTTCACGTTATTCATCATGTGTACTTGTGTTGGTGGTGGCTTTTCGCATGGAGCATGAGAGCCTTCTGAGCAAATCAAAAACTCGTTGCTGGGAAGTTTTTTTCGCCATTCGAGCCCGGCGGGCCTCCAGGCCGTTGCCTAAAAGTGTGAATCAGTTTTAACCCGGCTGGGCTATCGGGACCGGGTGCAGCTGGCACTGAGGGGGCTGATTAAAGGAGGCTTAAAGCACGTGCGTCAACTTCTCGTGCAGGTTGTGCCCTTTGGCCACTGAATTGTTCGAATCTGTAGAGGAGTGACTGGAAGCATGTGGCCTAAAGAGCGGAAGCCCTCCGTTACTTTGTCTTCATGGACTACGCTTGATTCTACACATGTTGAGGTGCCAGGCTTGGGGCCCTCAGCCATGCATGTCCCTCAGGTAGTTTGTGTTTCTGCAGCAAGGTATTTTTTCCGACCTTCAAGTTGACGCACGGGGGTTTTGTTGCAACTTGAGCTTTGGGGCTGACCTCTTTGGTCAGTGGCTGGGGATCCTTGCTGTGAGGGCTGGAGAGCCTCTACCAAGCCATCTCTGCCCGCTATGCAGAAGAAAAGGAGGCCAACCGGAGTGGTGGGGGGGAACGGTTGCCAAAAAATGGGCACCTCAAATCAGTGGAATTTGCCTGACCATTGTCAGGGAGTTTGAGATGGGTTGAAACTGTGAGGCGAACGGATTTTGTGATACACATTCCTAGAGGCCAACCGGAGGCATGCCTAGAGGAAACGATGGCACAGCCCTTCCACTCGGGCTTCATGAAATTGTCATGCAGGTGTAGAGGCCATCCACACGGATCGGTGTCCATGGGCCGAATAGCCAGATGATGCATGGCTCAATTGCTCAGCTTGTTGGGCATTGCCACCAGCTCCAACCGTCGAAGGGCAGTGTCTATTCAACGTAGCTCAGCTGGCTTGGTTTCTAAGGCATCCTCAATGCCAACTGACATGATGGCTGCACTATGTGCCCACTTCAACTGACGCTGAAGTAGCCAATCCGCACTTCCAGTGCAACTTGCCAGGATCTCAAGACGCTGTACACGCGGCATATCACGGCCCCTTCGTCGCAAAGCGCCCGCCACTGCCATTGTTTTGGGAGAAATCACCACGGGCGAGTCTGTGAGGCCGCTACCCCGCAATTGTGGCAACGTGCGGCTTGCAGCTGCCACGTTTTGGGAATGGTCTACTAGCTTTCCTCAAGAGTTCTCACCTTTCAGTCTGCTGGTCACATCCTTTGTTTTTTCCCACGCAGACCGAAGCAAGGGTCCTCTAACTAGCTTTGTCCTCATTTAGGCGACGGCGATTCTTCTTGCGCCTGGCAGTTCGGTAAGGCGGCCCTAAAATGACCGGTGGTTGACCGTCACTGCAAGTCTCAGGTCTCACGAGCTTCCTGTCATGGTGCAACAAAATTCGGCAAACCAGGCAGAAGACAAGGGAATCTGCGCTTGCAGTCTACGGCCGCACTTATGGTTAACATTTCCTTTACTCGTTTTGCCCGTTGGCTAGAAACAAGTTTGAAGCAGGGGCCAAGTCTGGTCCGGTGGGGATGGTGGGATCAATTGTCCCGACTGAGGCCATCTACCGGCAGCACAACCCCACCAAGCTGGCAGAAGTTGTGGCCTGTTCTCTATTAGCACGTGCCAGTTGTGAAAGTGGCATTCGTTTGCATGTGCGATTGCCGCACGGATCGTAGCCGGCTGAGCCTCGAGTTTTCATTAGCAAAAAGGAGCCCGCGCCGCAGCAAGCGGGATTTGCCAAGTTGGCAGCGGAGCCTTGAGCTCTCGTTTCCCAGGGCACGCCATGCCGGCCATTCCGCGCCTCTTCATGGAGCGGAAAGCCGATGATGGCACCAGCGACGGCACCGAGTACGACTTCGATGAGCCGGTCGCTGATGGGCCCTTCGGGCCGGATGCCACGGTTGAGGAGCCTGTGCAGCCTGCGCGCACTGGCGGCTCGCCGACCCGGCCTGCTCCACCGAGCTCGCGCCATCGGAACTATGCCATGGACAAGGACGATCGCTGGCGATGCATGGCTTGCCACTCGTCCTACTTCGGGCGCGCTGAGCACGGTTGGATATGCAGCTCATGTGGTGATGCCAGCTTCTACATCGCCACGGAGCCCACCAGGAGAGAGACCGATGATGGCGTGTGGATCTATGTTCCTGCAGGAGGCGACGATCAGGGACAACCTCATGATGAGCGCCCACGAGGCAGCGACCAACGTGGACATCATGATGTTCCCTGGCATCCTGGAGGCGGACATGGAGACCCGGCCTCTCGGCCATGGCAAGCTGGAGGCGGACCACCCGGACCTCCCGGTTTGACCAGGAGCGCGGCGAGAGCCAGACGCCCACCGATGACCCGGTTGTGGATCCTGCTGACCTGCAGCCAGCGCGCAGACGCCGGAAGAAGAACAAGATACAGCCGCAAGGCACACCCCACACGCCTGCACTACGAGCCCAATCACTGCGCGACACCGCCAAGCAGACCGGCGGCCTTCCAGACGGCCTCACCAAGCGCAAGGTGTCAGACTCCGACTGGAACTCAGCTAAGGGGCCGACACCCGGCGTGAAGTACCGAGGAGGCGCCCCACCGCAAGCTCCATCCTGGCACCATGACCGCGCCGACCTTCGAGCTTTCGGCAAGTGGAAGAAGAAGGTCGAGATCTGGATGCTCCAGATCACCAACTACGTGCCCAGGAAGGAGGCTGGCTTGCTCTTGTACAACTCCTTGAAGGGCGAGCTGGAGGAAGAGCTGGAAGACGCCGACGTCAACCGCATCTACCGCCCCAATGGCGTGGAGTTCATCCTGCAGACAGTGCAGCAGGCGGTTGAGGCCAGATCTGTTCACCTCAAGCGCAAAGGCTTCGCTTGCATGCCGCTGGCCCTAGGAATGCGGCGCGTGTCATCACCACTTCGCACGCGCGGTTTGCGCGACTCTGGTCGAACAGCCCGGAGGGGTGTGCGGAAGCCTTGGCAGTCGGAGAGCTCAGACGAGCTGTCCCATGGTCCCTTGAATGTTCCGCATTGGAAACATTGTTTTTGAGACAATTAGCTGGGGCACACTCAAGGTTTAACGCGCGATTGCGTGAGGGGAGAGGATTCAGGACATCAGCACCCAGCGCCAAAGCCTGGGATGAAATATCAGTTGGCTCCTTTGGCGAACCGCCAAAGCTGCACAGAGTTTTTCCCCGCCTTTGGCAGGCCCCGCCCGTTTATCAAACCAGTTGATTTCTCCCCTGCTCGACATGGAGCACCAAAAGTGCTAACCTCCAATTCTTTGACAGCCATGGCGCCTGCCAGGGCACTTTGGAAAATGTTTGGGCGTATGACGCTAAACTTTCTGGGTAAACCCTTTCTGGGGGTGCGGAAGACCCCAACGACAAGTCCGATTACCCGGACGAGCCAGCCGAGAATGATGAAGAAGCCGATGCCGGCGACTTCGACGATTTTGATCCTCAGCAGATGGCCGAGGTTCTCACTGTCACCGCCCGCAAGCTCAGCGCAATGGTGCAGGGCCGGAAGTTCACGGGCCATCCGCGTCGGTCCATAGAGGACCGGAAGAAGGCTTCCCCACTGCGCAGCATGCGGCCAACAAGGCCACTGGAAAGGGGACGACATTTGTCCTGCCTCTTCGCGGAAAACATCGTCCGGCGGCAAGGGCAAAGGCAAGTACCCCAAGGGAGATAAGCCTAAGGGGGACCACGACAAGGGCAACGACTCCGACAGACCCCCTCGAGCAGTTCATTTCATAGACCATCACTTTGGTTACCAAGCGGAGGAGGACCCTGAGCACCCCTACAACTACTCCCAGATGTCCCACCAGACCTACGTGACCCATCACCTCAAGAACTTCCACCCCGAAGTCTTGCAGACTCCTCAAAGTTAGCGGGTTACATGGTCCTGGACACTGCCTGCCAATGCACATGTGTGGGCGACCTTTGGCTGCAGGCCCAGACCACCAAGCTCAAGTCCTATGGCATCGACACTCTTCAGGTGCCTGGGCGGGAAACGTTTGAGTTCGGCAACGGTGACCCCATCATCTTGGACACCAAGCACTACATTCCGGCCACTTTGGGAGGTACCCTTTGCATGATCGGGGCCAACTCACTGCCCACCAAGATTCCCTTGCTTGCAAGCCGACCCCTCATGACCACCTTGGGCACCACCATCGATTTGGCCAACATGACCGTCAGGTTTGAAACCATTTGCACAACGACCACGTTGCACATGGTCAATGGTCACATTGCTGTTTCCATTGCAGAGTTCAACAAGCACCCCAAGTTGGTTTCCGCATGGAAAGACAGTTGTGACCGCCTTGCAAGTGATGCACGTGCCGGATTGATCGCGGATGAGGTGCATGTCGTTGAACGCCAGGCTTCAAGCCAAGCACTAGGCCGTAACCCTCCATCCGAGCATGCATCGCCGGTCGCCGCCCTCATGGCTGCGACGATGGAGGCACATGGTCTTACGGACCCTCACGTGGGCACGTCAAGCCCAACGCTTCCTTCGAGGAGTCAGCCTGGCCCAGATCGAGAAGGTCACCACTACGGCGACATCAAGCACTTCGGTGGCCACGGGACAACCTACAACGACGCAGATCACATCGGTGGCCACACCTACGAGCTCGACATGCCCCCATCAGTACATGGTCAGGCACGGCAACCGACACGGTCGCTTCGCGAAGTGCCAGCAGTGCGGCATCAAATGGAGGTGGAACGACCAGCAGAACGGGTGGGAACTCTTCGTCGAACGATCGCGTTCCTCACGGCTGCCACTGCCTTCGTCAGCCAATGTCTTGGACAGCTCGTGGCAGAACCCCAAAGCACCACCAGCCCGACCAATCATGGACAGACAGCCAGCCCGTGGTTCAACCTCCAAGACCAAGGCCAAGGCGAAACCTACGAGCCGCCCGACTGGCTACAACGACCACCTGGACGCCTTCAGACTTCTGGAACCAGCAGCACCCAGCGAGATGTCATGGACCCACGACGACCAGCCCCAGACGGAGGAGACGTCGGACAGCGACTACGATTGGGAAAGCGTCGGGCCATGACCGGCAACATGAACCGCCAAGCACAGGTGCTCGCGGTCGAGAGGAAGATCTACGATGGCATCAAGCCCCAGTTCACCAACGGCAACTTGGTGGACGTCATGGAGGCCTTCGCAGGAAGCGCCGAAGTTTCTTACTTGGCGCCCCCGTACAACCTCAGAGCATCACAACCGTTTGGGCAGAACCTACTTGAACCTCAAGAACAACGAGCTCTTCGCAAGGCACAGCAGCTTCTTCGCCCGTTGGTGTTTCTCGCCGGAGTGAAATGCACCTCATGGAGCATCTTCAACGAGAACCTCAACTACGTCGGGAAGAACCGCATGCCCGAACTCGAAGAGCTTCGACAAAAGGACATGCGCCTGGTGGACCTCACCATCGACTGCATCGAGGATCAGATCGCCATGGGCAACTACTTCCTCATGGAGAACCCTGGTGGCTCAAGACTTTGGGAACTTCCACGGGTTCAGCAGCTAGCCATCCGCGACGACGTCTACATCGTCACCGGGCACTCGGCACTCTGGAGCTTACGGAGCTCAGGATCGCCACGGCAACCGCATCAAGAAGACCTTCAAATGGATGACCAACAGCAGCGCCCTGGCCGAGGCAGTCTCCAAGAAGCTCGACCAGACCCAGCTGCAATACTGTGTGCCTCTTCAAGGAATCAGAGTCACGGAATCGGAGGAGTACACTCGTCCGCGCCATCCTCAAGGCCATCCACAAGGAAGCGAATACGAGGTTCCTCATCGCCAAGGAGGTGTTCGTCCAAGAGCCCAATCGAGATCCAGCCGCATGGCAGGACGTCATGGATAAGCTGGAGAGGCTGTTCAAAGCCACGCCTATGAGATCCGTCATTTTGCCGGACGACAACCCCCTCTACGAGGCGATCACCAAGCTGGTACCCTGGCGCATGGTCCGCGCGCAGGTGACTCCTTCAGATCGGAGAGATGCAGGTCGAGACTGAGACCCTCGACGGCCTTCACTTTCCCAAGCAGAGGTTCGCCAACCCGGTCAACTACGGCATCTTCTGGTTTGGATTTGCCGATGATCAGGTCCCTCAAGAACAACCACCACAGGCCGATCCGATGCATCGTCCCCCAGAAGATCTACCAGCACAACCCGTCCACGAGGTCAGCTTCCCGAACTGCCCTGCCAACGTGACCAGAGAAACCAGGTCAGCGGTGGCAAGACTACATTTGAACTTGGGGCACCCCACGGAGAAGGAGCTCATCAGACTCCTTGCATGGCAAGGCGCCGCATCTGAACTCATGATCACTGCGGTCAAGCACATACACTGCGGCAGTTGCCATCGCCTCAAGAGAATCCCACGACCACGACCGACGACTATGCCCAACAACGTCGGCCAGTTCAACGATTTCCTCCAAGCAGATGTTTTCTGGTGCCGAGACCTGACCGGCACCAACTTTCCCATCCTCGGGATCATCGACCAGTCCACCTTGCTACATCAAGCGCAACGGCTGCCTGACTTCTACCCGGAGACCACCAGCGAGGCCTTCCGGTGGCTGTGGTGTAAGCCTTACGGCTACCCGTATAACCTGCGCATTGA